TTTTTTGTTTTTGAGAAAAGAAAAATTCTATATTATTTTATGTTTTTCAGTGGGATAGTTCTGCAGAAAATCCGTCGCATTCATTTCAACAAAAACAACAGCAACGTTCTAATGTACTACGTAATTATGTATAAAATGTCAGATTTTTTTTTTTCTTTCTTGTTGTTTGTTTATTTGTCATCTATTTGATTGAAAATTCTTTTTCTAATTTTTGTCAATTGAGATCAAAAAAATAATAATAATAATAATAATAATTCATTGCTTTAAAATTCAGATAGAATAATAAATATGCGTGCTGTTATTCAACGCGTTCTTCGAGCTAGTGTTCGTGTTGGTGATAATATAATTAGTTCAATTGATCGTGGTTTATGCGTATTAATCGGTATTGCGAATGATGATGATCAAAACGATATTGATTATATTGTAAAAAAATTACTTTCAATACGTTTATGGCCATCAGTTGATGGAAATAGAAATTGGAATCGTAATGTTGTTGATTTAGATTTTAGTCTTTTATGTATAAGTCAATTTACATTACATGCAACATTAAAAGGAACAAAACCAGATTTTCATTTATCAATGTCAGGTGAACAATCGAAAATATTATATGAAAAATTATTAGATCAATTAAAACAAACCTATAAATCAGAGAAAATTTTTGATGGACAATTTGGTGCGATGATGAATGTAAATATTGGTAGGTATTCGTAGTAATTAATCTTTAATATAATAACTAAATTTAATGAGTATCATTAAAAATCTTCCGATACAATCTTATAATAATGAAAAATTCACTCATGAAGATACTTTATCAATACTCATTTTGTTCAATTTAATTTTAATATTTCGTTTTTCTTTTTTTAACAAATACAAAATTGTGACGAAAAAAAGGCTGATTACTTTAAGCAGAACAAATAAGTTATTCTACAATCAATCTAACTTCTCGAAGATAGAAAAAAAAAATCTTTTTTTTGTCTTGTCTTTATCACAGAAAGTTTGTTTCTTATATTTGAAAACATGTGATATAAAGAATATTAAAATTTACATTATCAAAAATGAACTATTATATTATCTTAAGAGTTCAATTATATGCCATGTAGTATAAATCAAAAAAAGAGTATTCAATGCATTCAAAATTAATTTTACACCATTGGAAATGAGAGATGTTTATAGAATTCAAATATTTTTCAGTATAAATCATTTAAGAAATTTTAATATTATCGAATAGAAATATATCATATCACACATTTTAATTAATTTGTCGTGTCAAATGATATGTTCTTTTCAGTTCATATAATAATTCTATTTATATGAAATTTAAGTATAATTTAAACTTTTCTTTTGCATGATTAATTTCATGAACAATATCATATTTTATTTACTATAGAATAAACTTTGTTTTTTTTACTAGATATATTGATAGTTCAAAATTGTACAACTGAATTAGATTTTGTTTTTTTTAGAAAATGATGGTCCAGTAACAATTATTCTTGATAGTCGATCGAAAAAGTCCAATGCAACTGCCGACGACGAATAGACTAATTATTAAGCGGGTTTTTTTTGTTAGATATATACGCATATAAAATATGTTATTTGAGTTTTTCTATATTCAATCATACTCAAATTTCTTAATGAATTATAGAGCCATAAATAAACTTTATTAATAAAAGAAAAGCTTTTATCTCTGCTCATTTTTCATGCATTTACATTTTTAATCGTCACAACAAATACACAACACATACAATCATGACTGTATTTCCCATAACATTACTCGTCATTTTATTAATGACAAGTCAATATATCAATGGTTATCCATCAACATTATCAAAAGGTACAAAGAATAATCACGCAATAAATCTACGATTAAAACGTAATTATGAATATGGTCAACATCCTCAATTAACAAATAATTATAATGATGATACACCAGTTAATTATGATGAATATTTACCAAATATTTATTCGATTATTCAACGACCAAATCATAAACGTTTAATTGACTTTTAAGAAAACAAAAAAAAAAAACAAAGAATTTTATTTAATTTGTCAAAATCAAATAATATAAAATATGAAATAAAATAAAATTTTGAATTATAAATAATGATTTAGATTTTATATGAATATTCAATTAGCAAGATAACCTTTGTTTGTTTTTTTTATTTTAACTTAAAATAGAATATCTTACCGAAGGAAAAAAAAAAAAGCGAGAGACGGATATTTATTGTTCTATGAAAATATTTGATACAAACAAAAAAAAAAAAGAAAATGAACAGGAAATTGATTCTTTTTGTTTTGTAATAATTAATATGATACTAAAATTTACAAGAGGAAATATTGTATATTAAAAGTACTTGTATTCTTCTATAAGAATATCTTGATTGTTTCTAATTTATTAATAATCATAAAACAAAGTATATAAGTAGGATTTTTTTTTATTCGTCAAGAGATATATGTGGCAATTTAAATGATAAATATTTTGTAAACAATATTCTTGTTTACAGAATATCTCAAAATTATAGAGTACCATCTACTGACACTGTCAAAAAAACATTTCTGTTGTTTTAAAAAGCTCATGTCAGTTATCTCTTAAAAATTGAAGACATTTTTCTTGACAATGTCCATAGGGAGTACTATAATTTTTGAATACCCTATACTTATAGTTCTGTTAATAATATCTTTATTATTATTTATTTGAAAAGCAAGTATCATCATTTTGTTTTGCTTCAATATCTTTTGATTTTCTCTAACTATTTTATCATATGAATATTTTTAATTTAAATAACACTTTAAGAAAATAGACTCAATGTAATAATAAAGAAAAAAAGAAAAAAAAGAAAATGTAATATCAACAAACAAAAAAAAAAAAGAATCTTAAGAAAGAATATTTTTTCTTTGGAAGTATCTGTTCTTTTTATTGGATACAATCATGATGAGACGAAAAGTATCAAATATTTAGATGAAGACATCTGTGAGGCAAATGTACGCATTTCCAGCTGCGACAAATCTAATGAAACTGATGATGACAACAATCTTATCCCTTCAGGTAGAAGCCCTATAGTTTCTTTTTGTGTCCACAAATATACACTTCATCTTTTCTTACATTTTTGATGATCATCACTTTATATGTTGCATTTTGACATCTATATGCTTTCTTTTTGCTTTCTCCTTATGATCTTTGTATCCGATCTATTTTTTTTTTGATATAGAAGAAAAAGTTTTAAAATCTTTTCGTCTTTGCTGTATACAACAGTAATGGATTGTCATGTACATAATGATATAACTGGAACAAGTATAATGTTACATTTGGCAACAATTGAAGAAGATATGGGTGAAATTGATAATCCATTAAAATATAATATAGATAAAAATGGTAAGAAAATTTTATTAAAGAAATAATTCAAAATTATATATAAAAAAAAAATAATCAAATCATTTTTATCTATTTGCTATATACTGCAATGTCATCAAAATTCATATTAAGATTTGTTTTCTTCTTTGTTTATGTTTATGTGTGTGTGTGTATCGAGAAATAGACAAGTCTGTCAAACATCAAATAAGTGGAAACTACCCTAAAGCGAACCATGACGAAAGATAAATTATCATTAATATATAGATAGATATGAAAAAAAAACCTTCCTAAGGATATTAATGATGTAGGGACGATTGACAGGATATGTGTCTATCGATAGAAAAAAAAAAGCTACCAAATGTATTTAGACAATACTTATACGATAAAATAAATAACATCTACAAGTTTTTCTTCTTCATATCTAAATAATCGATAACTACTATTTGTTAATCATGTCTAATGAATTATTACAGGATTAGCATATTTTTCTTTTCTATTTTTCATAACAATTTTATCAATTTATATTTGCGTGCTTTGATTATATTTCCTGTTATTTAGACTTTCCATTACATTTACAATATAAGACACATGTAAAATATATTAAAAATGATATGAATGATGATATACATGAAATAAATAAGCAAACATCAATAGAATCTATGACTACAACAGCACATCATCAACATGAGTAAGTAAATAAGAAGAATATATATAATTTAAGATAAACTTTTCTAAGAAACAAAAAATAATCATTTTTCTTCTTCTTCTTAAAGTTCTCATATACATATAAATATAAAATATATTGTAAATTGTTTTATACTCATAGAGAGAATTTACAAATGAATGAATTATCATTATTCCATCCATATTTAAGTGCCATCTTGAACAGTATCATTGCAAAGTCTTCTTTTTTTTTCTTATTTTCTAATAATTGAATACATACAAGTGAATATTTTATCGAGTATTTAATTGCATTCCTTTTTGTTTTTCAAGCTATGAATGATGATGATTAGAGAGAAACAAAAAAATCTACATCTATCATTCTCATTTTTTATGATTGAAATATCAATAAAAACTACGCATGTTAAATTTCAAAGATGAATATTCATCACATTAATTTATGATGCTTATTATTGTTTTTGTGTATAAAGATAAAATATCTTCTATTTTTTCTTCTCGACAAAAAAACAAAAAGAAAATAATAATCAAATAGAGAGGGCTAAAAAGTTTAATCATCATATTTTTACTACTGTACGGAAATCATTTCATATTATTTAGATTTATTATTGTTCGCTTTACGTTTTTTCTCTCATTATTTCTATTGACAATTCTACAAAGAAATAAAAAACGAGCACGCACACATTTAGTTTTATTATTAACAAAGAAGAATATGTCTGTTGGTGTGGTATGTGTGTATATATATAAAATGGTTTCTTCTTTTTTTTCTTCTATCTGGAAACATGTATTTATCGTATTTTATCTTGGTAAATCATTATCAATTTGAAAACATGTCGACATCAAAGAAGTGATGCTCTTTGTCGTTAGATTCTCGATTCTTTTTTTCTTCTTTCTTTTTTTTTTTTTTTTTTTGTCTCTCTTGTTACTCTGAGTTTTGCCCTCGAGTGAAGAGAGAGAGAGAGAGAGAGAGCGGCTACATAGTTTGCTCTAATAGACATAACTGAAAATGATCGATGTAATAAATTTTGTTTCAATTTGCATGACAAATTATGAACACAAGTGAATAGAAAGATAGAGCGTAAAGAAGAAAACGATAGAAATAGACTTATTTTTCTCTTATATTATTATCAATATGTTTATAGACTTTTATAGTTGACTAACATAGTTATCTGAAAAATCTTGTTCACTTACACTGATTTGTCGTTCGTTAGATCGAAAAAGAAATAAGACCAACTCAACAGGCATATCATCTAGATAAGTATTGAACTGTTAAAAAGAGAAATATAGAAAAATTTTTTTTTTTTTTTTTTTTAATTACCAAAATATATTCTACTATATTTAACAAAATCTAGATCGGCAACTATCCGAACTAAATTGACCTAATCGACAATTGGCACCTATAGTTTTTTTTTGCTCCTCTTCTTGTTTTCTCTTTTTAACGATGATGTGTCATCATCGGTTTCCGATTCATCCGCGCACCCTGTCGATTCTACCAAGGATATGATCGAATTAGACGAGAAGATAAGAAAAAAAAAAAGAAAAGCACATCCTGACACACACATACACGGCTTTTTTTAGTAGATACTAAAACGCAAGCAAAAAAATAAAAAAGAAACATTTGCTCTGTTATCATAACTATCATTATCATTAGTTTCAGTAATCACAATACAAGTTCTCGCAGTAGTAATAATACAACAATTGTTCCATTTATTTTTGTTACACATGACAAAATTAGTCCAAAATTCGAATACCAATCATCTAGGATGGAAACATCAACCATGTCTTCTATCAACGCGGATAACATAAGTTTAAAAGGTATAAATAAAAATTAAAAAAAATATAACATTTTTTTGTTTGTTTTGATATTATAGATTATTTCGAGCGAACTTCTTGTTCTGGTTCACCAACCTTACCCGATAAACTTTTATCATCAGCATCAGCTACTGCTACATTATCACCGCCTGGAATTCATCTAGTAGCTAGTTCTACTAGTTTAACTAGTAGTGGTAAACGACGTGGGCTTGGTTTAAGTGGAGTTCATCGAGCTAGTTATAAACGAGCACATACAGGACGATTAGTAAGTCATGCAAATAGATATTATTTGAATAATAATTATTCCGATGATAAATCTTAGACTTAATTGTTTTTTTTTTTTTTTTTCTTAACAAGACAATTTCAAGTAGATAACATCGAATTTAGATTGAGATAAAAAGAGACAAAAATAAATCTCATTTATTCAATATGAATTTTATTCTTTTTAGTCTCTTGATCATACACCATATGAATTATTTATTGAATTACAAGAATTAAGACAAGATGGAAATAATGAATATACATGGCATGAATGTGCAAGGTAAAAAAAAGAAAAGAAAAGAAAGAACAATAAATAATTATTGTCGGATTTTTTTTACTAAAAAATGTGAATCACTATTTTTACTATAAACGATTGAAAGTTATTCCAAAAAAAAAAAAAACAAAAGCTTGACAATAGTATAATGAGATTAACTATTTTTTTTTTGTTTTGTTTTGATATAAATAGATGGATTCGATATGAAGAAGATTATGATATGGAAATGGAACTTTGGCAAGGTTTGTTTTTTTTCGTGATTTTTTAAATTCTATCTTTATTTTTGTTTTTGTTTCTAGCTCCACATGTTGGTTGTTTAAACTTTCATAGTTTACTCGAAATACGTCGTGGTTTACAATATGGTGCGCACATTGTGTGTGTAGTTTTTATTTAGAAAATATTCGCTCAAAAAAAAAACACACATATTCTTTTTCTTGTTTTTTTTTTTTTTGATCATTATTTTTATATTCATCTATAGGTATTGTATTACTTGATCTTGAAGAAGAAAAACTTGAATGTATTTATGAAGCTATTATTAATGATGCTATTGCTAATGGACAAATGAATAAAGATGTTAAAGATGAACTTCTTCGACTTTTAACAAGTAATCATAAGTATGAAATAAATTTATTTTTATTTAAAATAAAAACAAAAAAATTTAATTAATTTTTTTTGTTTTTTGTTAAGACATCCTGAAATTCGTTCATTTCGACGACGATCATCAACAATAGATTATTCACAATTAACAACACGACGATCAAGTTTAGCTGTTCGAAGAAATGAACAGCATAATAATACTGATAATAATAATACACGACGAATGAGTCTTTTAGAATCAAAATTAAATGGTGATTTAAATAAAAATTCTAGAACTCTTATTGTTCAAGTTAGTTATTTATCGATATATATATATTATGGGGATGACCAATCTAGCCGGGTGCCTCATTAAAATATTTTTTATTGCAAGGATAAAACATACTATTGTTCGGGTCATATGAGAGAGGATCATAGATAATCCTAGATTGGCCCGAACAACGCCATTTTTTATCCTTATAATAATAGAGAAAAGCTATCAGCTCACACGATAAGCTGATAGCTATTCTCTACTATTATAAGGATAAAACATAATGTTGTTCATGCTGATCCAGGGTTATCTGTGATCCTCTCTCATATGATCCGAACGATAGTATGTTTTATCCTTACAATAAAACAAAAATATTAATAGGGTATCCGGCCAGACTGGTCATCCCAATATATACATAGAGTTATTTTTTTATTGCTTGCATTTTAGTATGATAATATTGCTGAATCAATTGTAACTGATTTACATACAAAAATGAATTCTTCCGATGAATTTCAACAAAATATCGATAATAATAGTAATGAAAATACTGCTCGAACACAACGATCATCATCTGTATCACAAGCTTTTGCTTTACGTCGACAATCACAAACTTTAACAAAAAAATCTCGCGAATCAATTCCACATAAAGTAATAAATAATATTACAAAGTCAATCGAAAATTTTCTTTTATTCTCAAACACAAAAATTCCTACATTTATTTAAATATAAATATCTGTAAAAAATAAAACACTGCACAAGAGGATGGATTCCACACGACAATATGAATCGGTTTTTTTTTTCTTTCCTGTTAAAATTACTATTACATTTTACTCGGAAACATATGCTTCTTTTTTTAGAATAAGTAAAAAAAAATTTTTTTTTTTCTTAGTTTATGTCGTTCTGACCGCATATGTCAAATGTCTCGTAGAAGTTTCATTTGATCGGCTTTTTTTTTCAAGGTTTCAATCTTCTCATCTTTTTCCTCTACATAAAAACTGAATTTTAAACTTTTGTTTGATGAATATCTTTCCGAAAATGTCATGACCTAGAGCTGAAATTTATAAATATGCACGGTTATCCTACCCTATAGAATAGGATACGATAAGGATTAGAAAATTTTTCTTAGTCAACATATATGGTACTAAATTCTAAATATTTCTAACATGATACTAAAGAATGTTTCGAGTCCAACGTTATTTATACAAAATACATATGTAGATAATTGATTGATATACATAGTTTTGTTGAGAAAGATGAAAATATTCTTGTAATGTTTGAATAATTAAAAATGAGCAAGATATTTCGATAGAATTCAACAAATACTATAAAAATATGAATATCAAAAAAAAGAAAACCAAACTTCTAATCCTATTTCCAATACAAAAACATGGATCCTAATAAAAATCTCACATAAGAGAGTATACTTAACTTTCATTAACATTAGTTGATCGATGTAATGTGACATATTCGAACTGAAAATAACCTTTTCGAGTTATATTAAACACACAGAACAATAGATCAACTAAAGTTATTAAAAGTTCAGTGTACTATTCTCTAATATTGAGTAGATAAAATTTTTTTATGTAGAATATTTTATCACATACAAAAAAAAAAAACAACGTCGATGACAAACACGTTTTTTTGTTTTGCTTCATCTCTCTCTCTCTCTCTTGAATTATGTTTTGATTCATATGAATTATAAGATAATTTCGTTAAAATCATAGAATATTTTACTATAAACTTGAGTTCCGGTCTCCGGCAAATTTGTTTTGCTCGTAGTCTCAATTCCGGTCTCAGCAACTTGTCTTCGTCGTGATTCCGGTCTCGGTAATTTTTTTTTTCTCGTAGTTCCGGTTCCGGTTCCACACATCTCTAATCTCAACATGTATCCTGAGAGTGTTCATATGCTTTTGAATGTATTTAATCCAAAAAAAAAAAATTCGATCTTTTTTTTTTTTTTTTTTTCGAAGAAATCAATTAAAAGTTTCTGATATTTTAAACAATTAATTTTAATAGAATAACAATATTTTTTTTTTTTTCTTTTCAATTTTTAGTCTGATTTAATGCGACGTATTCCAGATAATGCTGAATGTGCTGAAGTATTAATTGGTAGTATGAGAAATTTAACTAGACCTATTATGGCATTTGTACGTCTTTCACAAGGTCAACTTATAAGTATGATTTTATGAAGAATTTTTATTATTAATTAATTCATTTCCTTTTTTTTTTAATATAGATAATATAACTGAAATTCCCTTACCAGTTCGTTTTCTTTTTTTACTTATTGGTCCAGCTATGGATGAATACTTAGAAATTGGTCGTGCACTTAGCACATTATTTAGTACACTTGTAAATAATTATTTTAATAAGTTCGTTTTTTTTTTAAATTTTATTTCTATGTAGGATTTTCGAGAAACAGCTTATCAAGCAATGGATCGTCGTGATTTACTTAATGGTGTAAATGATTTTCTTTCTGATTCAATTGTTTTACCACCAGGAGATTTTGATAAAGAACTTTTATTACCTATAATCGAAACAGCTAAATTAAAAAAAATGAATGCAAAACGACGTTCAACAAGAGCACGATCTCAAAATAGTGATCGACCAAATGAACAAGAACATCGATCATCACAAAGTAAAAAGTTCTTTTTTTTCTTTAAAGTATTTCATTTTGTTTCTTTTTGTTTAGTTTCAAAAATTTTATTACGTAAGTTAATAAAAAGAATTTTTTTCATTGTAATAAAATTGAATTTCTAGCACAAATCTCTTCTTCAACACATGATAAACAAGATGAAGATCCTTTTAAACGAAGTGGTTTTATATTTGGTGGCGTTTATCATGAAATACGTCGACGTTATCATTATTATAAATCAGATTTTCTCGATGCTTTTAGTCTTAATTGTCTTGTTAGTCTTATATTTATGTTTATTGCATGTCTTGCACCAGCATTAACATTTGGTGGTATTATAGGTAAACAAAAAAACAAATTCTATTTATCAGAAAAAGAAAATAATATCGAAAGCTGTTTGTTTTTTTTTTTCTTAGCTGATAAAACTAATAATAGATTAGGTGTTAATGAAATGTTGATTGCATCATCAGTTAATGGTTTTTTATTTGGACTTGTCAGTGGACAGCCATTACTTATCCTTGGACCCACTGGACCTTTTCTTGTCTTTGAAGAAATGGTCTTTGATGTAAGTATATATATATATATATTAAAATATTATTAAAAAGTAGACATCAGTGAGATATGAAAAAAAAATTTAAAACATAAGTCTTTTTAGTTAATCTATTCAGAGTTATAGTCTCTGGCATGGTATATATACCGACAAATCGAATAATAGTATTTCGGCCTGAGATTTTTTTTTTCATAGATATGTCTATTTGTCAGTAGAATGTTCTGAAAATTTCAGTGTAAAAGAAGATTTATTTTTTTGAGATATTGAAGTTCCAGAAATTACTCATATTCCATGAAAGATGCTAGAATTTTCTGTTGTTTTTTTTTTGGGACTTTAATATCTCGAGAAAGAAATATTCTTTTGAGCTGAAATTTTTAGAATATTCTACTGGTAAACAGACTTGTTTGTTAGAAAAAATTTCAAATCGAAATATCGTCATTCGATTTATTGGTATATTTTCTTTTCATATCTTACTGAACTTTACCTCATACACAGAGTTCGAATGCAAAACAAGTTATTAATTGTTATTTCTATGGGATCACCCATCCAATAGTATGCTGATTACATTTGCTCTTGTGGTTAGTTAGTGTGTATGAAGAGCTCAAGCTAAAGAGCGGAAGGATTGATCTTCTTTTCAGAACTACAACTAGTCATAGTTGTAGAGAAGCTATTAAATCTGTCGCTAAGTAGCATCTTATACTAGAAGATAGTAGAAAAGCAAAAGTATTCTTACCTTCAACATGAGACAGATTAAAGCTAATAGATGAAAACTTAATTGAAGAACAATTTGTTACTGATATATTTGATGTATAGAACTGATAATTAATCAATGATGTTGTAGATTGAAATGAAACTAAACTTGTTTTGAGCGACTATCCCTTTTGAACGCTAATAGAATTTCTTTTATGTGAATATATATACCTATCCGATGCTTCACTATTTGTTCTCTAAGATTTATGATATATATATATCTTATGTGTATTACAGATCTATATAAAAAAGTGTAGAATATATACGAGTGTTACAAGCCATTGATAGGTTTCTACTCTTAACCGCAGATATTATAATTTGATTATAAGATTTACATCTCGCTTTCAATTGCTGTAATGTGGTTGGGTGGTTTCTTCCTGCCTTTAATTTACACTCTCATAAACATTTCAGATAACTAATACTTACATATTATATATCCATCGATCATATTTCTTTGAAGAGAATCTTTTCTAGAAATAGAAATTCTATTAGAGTTCTATAGTAACATCTACTGTTCTTTTGCATACTGTTAATAAGATAAATGACAGAAGAAAATTACTATTGTAAATTATATCGTTCATCTTACAATCAACAACAGAATTATAGTAAATAATAAATTAAATACAAGATGAATATTTCATGATATTCAATTCAATAAATAAATATATATCATTACTAATAGAAAGAATAAAAGTCACAATGATTATTTGTTCAAAAGTTTACATGAGTTCTAC